AGGCCAATCGAAGTCTATCATAACTTTCTTGTTGACTTAAATGACATCGAAAATCATAAAAAATCATTGTAAGAAAATTTTCTCGCATTAAATTCATGCTGACGTGACAGACATTTTTCAATTTGCCGCCAAATCGTAAACAAATGATAAATTAATAAAATACATACACAATAATATTGGCAAAGAGTTCCATTTTCAAAACTTATTTTTTTATTATATCGTTTACAAGTGGCCACTTCTAAAAACTTTCAGTGAAGACCTGATTTTTCTTGCTATTTCGAAGATAGATCTACAGTAAAATTTGTTCATATTGACGCGTAGAATAGAAATAGAAAGCACTATTTTGGTTACCTCATATAATATAATATATAACTATTTGTGAATATTAGTCAGACATTTAAATATAAAAATTAAACTGATAAAAATGAGGCCTTATCATTTATATGACATGTATCCAGAAGAAAAACCTATACATAATATACACAAATATATTGATACAATCGCTATTAATAAATTATTCATTTTTAGGGTTCCGTACCTCAAAAGGAAACAACGGAACCCTTATAGGATCACTTCGTTGTCTGTCTGTCTGTCAAGACCCATTTTCTCAGGAACGCGTGGAGGTATCAAGCTGAAATTCATATCAAATACGCAAATCTACTGTCCCTTGGAGCTGTGAAAAAATCAAACTTCTAAGCCAACGCAATCAAAAGATACAAATGTTTATGCCGAAAATTTTCGATATTCGCGAGGGAATCAAAACCTACAGGGTACTTCCCGTGAACTCAGAATCTTAAAATTTGGTACGAAGCAACGCATTATAGCACAGATAAAGGAAAAATTGCGGAAAGCGTAAATTTTTAGTTACATCATATAATAAAAATATTTTTTACAATTTCAAACTTATATAGTATAATATATATATTTGATTTGTTCGGAACCCTCGGTGTGCGAGTCCAACTCACACTTGGCCGGTTTTTAAGTATTTCTGGTCTACATTCATATCTTAATCACTAAGGATGGCTTAAAATAAATTTTCCCGTTAATCGGGTAATAGTTAAGCTGCTGGCATATATAATTTTTCACGCACACTAGCATCCTTGCAATTGTCTTATTATACACACTACAATATTGCGATGCCGCATTCACGGAATTCTCATTTTCCAGTAGTGCGGTATCTAGTCAGAGCGCGCGATGACATATTATTAATCTATGGATCTCAATTTTCTTTTTACCTTTTAAACTAACGCTCATAATTTGAAATTAACTTAGCGTCTATTTTGCTGTAATCGTATTTTATAACAATCCTAAATTTCAATCATTGTGAAAAACTATAGCATAATCTTTGCGACAGACAAAAAAACAGACGTCGAGTTAATTCCATAAGTGTACCGTTTTGCTGAATTTGACACGGATCAACAAACAAATAATTAAACTTTATTAAACAAAGTTTGTCTAAAATGATAAAGGTGTTTATGGATTATACTTAGTCAGGTCACAAGTTCTGTCAAAAACTTTTTTTTTAGGATATTGTGACAAACGAGCACACAGTCCACCTGATGGTAAGTGGTTGCCGTGGCTCATAGACATCTACATTTATACTCGTTTGCGAATCAAAATGCAGATGCATTGTCACCCGTGAGGACTTAGATGGAATGCCTCTTTTCCAGTAAAAAGGGTCTCCGGTTTTCTACACTCACTATACGAAACACAGCATTGTTAAACTGCTATTTTACGCTGGTATTCCGTGAGAGCGTGGTCCTTCCCCGATCGAGTCGATCCATTCGTGTTACAACTACTAATATAGCTGCAGCATGGCTCTACCACGTAGCAAGCTATTTGTAAAATTAATGATACACTTTTTGATAATTATATAGATATTATATATGAAATGAAAGCTAATTTAATTTAGAATATAATTTTATTTACATTATTCAAAATGCTCTCTACTATTTTGAACACATGCCCTTAATCGACGCGGCCAATCATCAATTGCATCACGCACCATACACATATCTATTTCTGCCGCTGCTTTAGCCAAAGATGCTCGGAGAGATTCCAAATTCTGATGAGGTTTAGCACAGACATTCTCCTCCAAAAAGAAGAAAAGTCAGGAAGTAATACTCCATACTGCATGACTCGGTAACACGGTTTACTATAATTTGATATATTATTAATACGATGTGTGAATGAATCCCACATGAACTTTGTTAGGATTCCTAACAAAGAATTAAAAACAATTAAGATTTCAATGTAAATATAAATGACATTTATTACAATCAACATCGATTTTTGCCTATTTTTCCCATTGGGCAAATTTCCCACATATCCTTCAATTGTTTCTATCTTGGTTGATGTCTTCGCCGTCCTTGTAGCTTTTTTGAAAAAAAAAAAGAACTTATTTATTTTATTGACTGCTGCAACTTACATTTACAAAACATCAATTTTATAAATAAATAAAAACTTAAGAAAATTATTTAAATAAAATGGATAGCAGCAACAAAAAGGCTATCGCCATCGGTTAAGCATGATGCTACAGTAGCAGAGTTACTGCAGCGCTGACTCTGTCAGAGCTACATAAGCATAAGTCGACTCGTGAGCCATTGCTGGACATAACTTAGTACCTATTGCATAACTTAACATCACTAAGTACTTAATCAAAGTTAATATTAAATGTACTCGTAATAATCATAAGTATTAGATATATGTATATTTTCTCATCAACATTACCACAGATAAATACAGCAAATAAATCCAATAAAAATTAATGCTTCTTTGTTTGTCTCTTTCGTTCCTATACCATACGTTTACGATGTAACTTTAGTGAGCTATTGTAGGCTCGCGAAGGTTTCAGACAAAAAAATTCTATATATTTACGAGATAGAGCCATGTTGCAGCTATATTATGGTTGTAGCACGAATTTGTGGCCTGGACCGAGGTAGGACTACGCTCTTACAGAATACCGTAACCGAACCGTAGTTTAAAATGGCAGCTTAATGCTGCTGTGTTTCACATAGTAAGTGTAGGCAACCGGAGACTCTTTTTACTGTAAACAAGACATTCCATCTTAAGCCTCAGGGATGACTACGCGTCTTCCTTTTTTCTTCTTAATCGAGGATAAATGTAATGTCTATGGGTTACAGCATCCACTTACCATCAGGTGGACTGAGCTCTAGTTTGTAACTCTTATTCTATGAATATAAAAGATATGTTTCTTTGTTTTCTATACGTTCCTGTCCTCCAGACCAAAGGACAGGATTATAGAGCAAGGGTGCGCAAGCTAAGAAAATGCGCATGATTCTCTATTTCTTCACTCTCATAGACCGACGTGACAAGTGGGAGATGAGGTAAAGTACTAACATATTAAGGTAGGTGGCAAGGTAAGGTGGTTTCCGCGGCACGGAGAGACACCTTCAGTTTCTTAACTTCGGTCTGTTACTGAAAATTTCTTGATATAAGAACCGAATAACTCATTTTGGCCCAACCCGAGATTGGAACCCGGGATAACATGATTATCAGTCAGGTTTACGACCACTAGAACAAGTAGGGCGCGGAATTTGCCTATGGCTTCGACTCGTCAGGTGGAGATATTATTCATTTGTCGCCCGCTTATGCATTTCAAGCTTGCATTGAAAATATGCGAATCCTCATTCCCAATATGCAAATCATAACGAAACCTCTAACTTTGTTGGTATGACCATCTTACCTTTTGCCGCCAAATGTTAGTGTTTACACTGCTATGTTCCAGGTTAAGGGAGCCAGTATAATGGCGAGCAGCATTCCATATTAGTCCTCAGAAGTAACAACGCATGTGTACCCTTCTTTGTTTGAAATTCTTTGCGGGTGTCCATTGGCTGCAGTATACACTTAATGTCAGGTAGATTTTAAGTTCGTTTGCCACTTCAGAATTATAAAAAAAAAACTCGTAGGCCACTCAGAAAGTTCTGCGACAAAAAGTAAAAAGTACTATAGTTAAAGATTTTATTATTAAATTATTTTAAACAAATTTTTGATTTTTTTTTAAACATAATTCATGCGTCTTAACTAAAGTTCGAAACACTTTTTCCAGTTCGTCACAGGCATTTCTGCTACGGCCTGCTCGGACGCTGCTAGCGCATTTTCAGGTGGTTAAAACTGTATCTTATTGAGCTGGTTTTTACTATAGTGAATTAAAAGCAGTCACACGGTGTCTTATCAGGATTGTAAAGAGGCTGACCTAAAAATGTAACCGGTGTGCTGTCCAGAAATTCCTACGTTTTGTGTGCTGAGTCATATAACATGACATATCATTAAATCGACTCTTACGATACCCACAGGATAAAATTAGGTTATGGATGCTCTAAGGATACCACCACACACAAAATTACGCGACACTATATTATGGATTTTAAGAATGTCAATCAAATTAATAACGCTTAGAACTCAAGAAGAATTCCACTTACAACTTGCCTCAAGCGTATCTCTTCTATTAAAAAAAAATTGATGTTACGATAATAATTAATATGAATTAATTTGCTGGCTGTACACTATATATTTACCTACAGACCGTACCGCTTCTTTTTAATAGATCGCAGAGCAGGCGCGCCTCGCACAAAACATACGGCAGTATCATTTGACAATTTGAGAGCAATCACTGCATTGTCGCCGCTCTTTATTCAACGGCAGATAATACATGGAAAATTGTCATTGCCATTGTGGTCGGGCTATTGTTGGTCTAATGACAGCGTTCCGATTTAGTTGACTTCGAAACTGGTCATCAGTGCAAACTTGGACGTGTGCGGGATGAGCCCATTACGATCTTTCTAACTTCGTTTAAGCGAGATCGTAATTTAAAGTAAAGATATATTAATACAAACTGGTTAATGAGTCAGCAGTGTTTGATAATAGAATGGAAATTGATGACAAGTAGAATTATGTGAAAGGAAACATAAATTACAACCAAATTTCAAGTGATATTAAGTAATTAACTGCCATTAAAGAGAAGAAAAAGTAAGAAATATATGGCGTATCCAATTGAACAACAATCACCCAAACCGACGCCGAGAATGTCGAGAAATACAAACCCGTATCATATAAAGAGGCCAATGAACGCATTTATGGTGTGGTCAAGACTACAAAGGAAGAAAATATCAATGATGAATCCAAAACTGCATAACTCTGAGATCTCAAAAAGATTAGGCCTAGAATGGAAGAGTTTAGACGAAACGGAGAAGAGGCCATTTATAGACGAAGCGAAGAGGCTTAGGCTAAAACACATGCATGATTACCCCGACTACAAGTACCGACCACGTCGAAAGAATAGATTGGAGACAACGTTTACCAATCCCACTATCTACGCAACAAGAGACGCGTTTGTTGAGATAGAACCGCGTCCAGACCAAAATTATCAAATTCCAGTTAATTACACTGATCATCAATTTATGTATAACAACATGATCAGCTACTCTGTGCCAGCGATGCCACAGACCTCGTTTGTGTCGACGACGATACGACCTAAGGAAGAAACGTTGCCGAGTTTGGACTTGAGGCCTTTGCCGTCTATAGAGAGCATTTCTCCGAGGCCGTTCGCGGTCATGAATCAGCAAATGATGGTAAAAGCGTATCAGGACTTGCATTATGTGCCCAGTGAAGTTACGAGAATTTCATATCATTACCCTTTTGGTATACAATAAGCTAACAGTAATTAGATATGTTATGAATGAAAAGATTCAGCTATTTCAGGTGTAGATGAAGAGGTACGGGTATCACACAAAACATTGTGTCTGTTTTTTGAGTTTGAAATTTTTTATGAGCACTTGTTACTATATGCAATTTTGTAAGCAATATTTTTTCTTATATTTGATACTGCAACTTTTTTTACATATCTATTTAAGTTACCCTTAACCAAATGTTCAGATTATGATATCCAAAACGCTACTGAATAATTATTCTTGGAAATGTATTACAAAGCTTAGCTTAGCTAAAATAATTAACAAATTAAAGTTAGTATAACAATAAATAATCCGTTTTATTAATAGAGCTAGTGCCTACAAAGACGCCGACTCAACGGAGCAATTGTAACTGTTTGCCAATCAGCATTCAGTGATTGTCGAAACAAGTGCAAGCATACGCCACATTTTATACGTGGTAGAGCCATGCTGCAGTTATATTATGGTTGCAGCATGAATCTAGAAATGTGTAGAGAATTGGAGACCCTTTTTACTGGAAAAGAAATGCGGAAACGCATCTGCAAGTTGATTCTGAATCGAGAATAGATGTTGATGTAGTCAGTAAATGTCTACTGGCTACAGCATTCACTTACCAACGGGTTGACTGTGTGTTTGTTTGTCACCATTATTCTATAAAACATTTTATTAACGTTTTTTACGTGGTAGAGCCATGCTGCAGCTATATTACTGGTTTACTTGTAGCACGAATGGGTCGGTTCAATAAAATAAAAAATAAAACACACTTTGTACATGGTAGGTGAAAGTTGGTACAGGTGACAGGTTTTAGTTCTGCTATTATTATTTACTTTTTCTTAATCAGGCCTTAAATCAAAGCAAACCGATATTTTTCGTCTTTGTAATTGCGAACAGGTGCTACTTTTGGGAGCTGGTCAGTTGCGATTTGCTATGTATAGATGAGCTCCAATATTTTAACGTTCAATTTAAATTTATATGTGGTAGAACCTCGCTGTAGTTATATAATGGTTGTAGCACGGTGGCACCAGCTTAAATATCAAATTAGGTTGCTGTGTTTCATGTGATGAATGTAGAGGAACTGGATACCCTTTTTAATGGAAACGGGGCATTCCATCTTAGTCCTCAGGGGTACAAACGCATCTGCAAGTTGATGCTTAATCGAGGAGTTGACATTTACTATGTGCCAACTCCTCCTCGACGACTGTGCGCACGTTTGTCATCAGTATTCTATAAAAAAATTGCATGTAGCTGAAGTCTGATTGAGATAAACAACCGTATCTTTTGCGGCATATTTTTTTTTAATTATTAATTTAATATCTCATAAATTATAAAAATATAGCAAATTTATAAAATTCTCTAAGACATTTCATCAAAATCTGCACTCTAGAGAACAGAACTAAAATAGCTGAAAAGCAGAAGTAAATTTGTGTTTTTTTTCCGCCGGATAAATATTATCCTATTATGTATTTGAAAAAGTACAGCTTTATGAATGGTAATGAATTATTTGCCTTAGATAACTTGTTTTTTAATTTTGAACTTGATTTAATATTATGAGTAAAATTTAAATCTACAATGTACGACTGCTTAATTCAGCATCATATCATATTAACAGTTTCTGTAAGGCTTAGTGCTAGATGTAAGCCTTTATGTCAGCTAGCATGCATTACAACGTTGAATTTGTATATTTGTCCCACAATGTTGTTGGGTTGTTGCTAATGTTGATGTTGTTATTGTTGTTGATGGTCTTGGTTAAGCGATTTTTGAGTTGTCATTTTGGTGTAAGATTGATGTCCTTTAAAATGAGATGGCCAGAGCAGTTCAATAATTTGTTTATAAGATAACCACTACTCCTTCTTACAAATTTTTTAAGAGTTAAAATGATAAACCGTGTAGTGGCGATGTAAGAATATTCACTACCTCATATCGTGCCGTGGGTGTCGTAAGAGACGGCAGTGGGAAACTGAAACGAGATGGACAGCAGTATCTTTCTGATAACAACTAAAAATAATAAAAAACTGCCGATGCAACCCGTTTGCCAAGCATGGCAACAAAGGCAACATTCTCCCTATCAGGCAATCTATGGGTAGGCCTATGTTCAGCAGTAGACTTTTATAGGCTGTAATGAATGGATGGATGGAAAATGAGAAATATCTTAGGTACTAATTAATAATGATGGCCTCCACACCGAAATCGGTATGGTAGAATTAGAGTGCCATTGTGGTTTTTTTTATATCATATGGGTGACAAACGAGCACATAGTATATCTGATGGTAAGTGGATTATGTGGTCCATAGACATCTACATTCATCCTCGATTAGAAATCAAAATGCAGATGCTTTGTCAGCCCTAAGGACTAGGATGGAATGTCTAGTCTCCAGTAAAAAGGGTCTCCGGTTCTCTACACTCACCATACGAAACATTTTACGCTGGTATTCCGTGAGAACGTGGTCCTTCCCTTGTCGAGCCGACCCATTCGTGCTGCAGCTAATATAGCTGCAGTATGGCCCTACCACGTCTAAACACAGGAACACTCTCTATTCCCTTACTTTCATAGTTCAATGAGAGAAGAATCAGGCGCAGGGCTAAAGGATTTACGTGCTTTCCGAGGCATGGCGTTGAAATACCGCAATTTTTCTGCCTACGGCCAAGTGAATTATACTGAGAATTATTTTTATTGAGAATCCCTTACTCGGGATTTGAACTCGGGACCTCATGATCAGCAAACGCGGTTACGACAAAAGAGGTAGTAATTACGTTCTCAACATCTCCCTATTCAATTTCACTGCGATCTTCCTCAAAGCGATGACGTATTGTTGATGACAAAAATATTATCTCGGTCTCGTAGACACACCCCATCAAAAAATACAATCAATTACAGGGCTCCATCAATCTGACGTCGCATTGCGAAGTGTCGCGTCACGGCGCGTACATTACTCCTGCTCGGCTTCCGACGTTGTGAACCAGCGAATCATTGGCATCGTTTCGGAGGAAGTGATACAGTTGGACTGAAAACACATTTTGTGACGCGTTTTTTACGAATATAACTTACATTTTAAATATTTTTTTTTATTATAGAAGCAGGGATGCCAAACCTGGTCTACGTGGTTCTATTATAGCTGTGGCATGGCCGACAATAAATGTTGATGTCTAAAGGCCACAATATCCACTTAATATAAGGTGGATTGTGTATTCATTTTCTTTTTAATAGTTTTTAATAGTTGGTGAACTTCACGTCTTCGAAACATTTTTCTTTAATTAAAATAATTAATAGATATGCAGCTTTCCACAAATTATAAGGTAATTTAATTAACATACTTTATAATTTGTTCTATTAATTATAAAGTAAGTTATCCAACTTAATTTATAATTAGTTTAATCTATTTTAATATCTTACAATATCGAATAGCTTACAGTTATGAAGCTGCCGTGTAGTGGCGGTTAAGAATATCCACTACCCCATATCTTCCCGTGGGTGTCGTAAAAGGCGACAAGGGGAAGCGGGCAGGGGATGGGCAGCAGCGTCTTCCTGATAATAGCCAAAATAACAATAAAAAGACTGCGGTTGCCAACCCGCTCACCGGGCGTGGCAACTATGGCAATATACCCCCCATGAGCAATGACAATAATAAACGGCCCCCAGTCCCCGGCGGCCCCGCTATTCCTGGCTACGGTGGCGACCATGGTAACGGCGGGGCAGGGCGTGCTAAGAATCTCCGGTGGAGGTTCGGTTGCCACCTACGACGACTCGACCTGGCAACATACAACGCACGCACCCTGAGGACTGACGAGAAGATTGTGGAGCTGGCAGAAGAGATAGACAAGTTACGCTGGCATATTATAGGATTATCCGAAGTCCGAAGAGAGGGGGAGGACACGGTAATCCTCGAATCCGGCAACTTGATCTATTACCGGGAGGGCGACCATCTGTCCCAAGTAGGTGTCGGATTTATCGTCCACAAGTCTCTCGTTAACAACGTTGTAAAGATTGAGAGTGTGTCGACGAGGGTTGCGTACCTTATACTCAGAATCACCAAACGGTATTCACTAAAGGTCATAAAGGTTTACGCACATAACGCACCTCGGCACACCCCGATCAGGAGGTGGAGGAAATGTATGAGGATATCTCTAGAGCCATGCATTCCTCCAAAAGCCAATATACGGTGTTAATGGGAGACTTCAATGCAAAACTAGGCACAAGAGAGAACGGTGAGCTGAAAGTAGGGAAATTTGGAATAGGGCAACGGAACCCAAGGGGCCAGCAGTTGGCTGACTTCATGGAGAAAGAGGGACTCTTTATGATGAACTCTTTCTTCCAGAAGCGGCCCCACAGGAAGTGGACCTGGTCGAGCCCCGACGGTTCGACAAAAAATGAGATTGACTTCATTATGACGACCAGACGACAACTGTTCAGTGATGTCTCCGTGATCGCGAGGGTGAAAACCGGCAGCGATCACCGAATGGTTAGAGGCACACTGAACCTAAACGTTAAGTTGGAGAGGTCTCGTCTAATGAAGTCAACGCTCCGTCCCCCTCGTGCTCTAATCCAAAGTCCCGAAACCTTTCAGCTCGAGTTACAAAACCGTTTTCAGTGCCTAGAAGACTGCAATGAAGTGGACGATTTGAATGACAAGCTCGTGGAAACTGTCCATGCGGTCGGAGCTAAGTTCCGCCGCAGAAGAACACAAAAACTCTCCGATCACACTCTTAATCTCATGGCTGTTAGACGGGAGATGAAGCTACATTCTTCAACAGATTTGACAGCATACAGGCAACTGAACAGACAGATCTCCAAATGCATGCGGCGGGACTTACGCAACTTCAATACAGCTCGTATTGAAGAAGCGATCGAGCGGAACCAAGGCTCCAAAGTCTTTGCCAGAGATCTGTCTGCCAGAAAGCGCCAACTGTCAAAGCTAAAGACAGAATGTGGCAACATCGTTTCCGGGACACCTGAGATTTTGAGTGAGATTGAGAGGTTCTATGGGCAG